AGGTCTGGCTCACACCAGGAGCATCTCCCCAGTAAGCTGTCTGGTCTTTGTCACCCCCTTCGAGGGCCTGTCCCTGTCTAACTACCTACAATATTTCTGTCTAACTCAGGCTGCCTGCAACAGTCCTCTCTGGTGACAGCTGGTAGGCTCTGAGTCTGACATCTGCTGGTTCTGTGGCATTGCTGGATTCTGTCCACCGGAGGTTTGACAACCAGCTCCCAAATCCAACAATCCTGTGGAGCTAGCCCTAGCTCACCTGGGGTCCAGCCAAGGGGGAGGAGGGCTTCTAGGGAGGTGGGAACAAGACAAGCGCGCCAGCCCCACTGCTGCCCCGAGAGGGCAGGGGCCAGGAGGTGAAGGCAGCATTGTAAATATTTGCTCATCTGCTTAGAGAAATTCAGGCCAATGCACTCTTGTGTTAGACCAGAGAAAGACCAGGGTGAGGCCACGCTCCAGCCAGGGTCAGAAGGGACCAGGCAGGTGGAAGCCGCATCTTCCGTGGGCACAGGGGACAGGTGTGTGGCCCTGGGTGTCCCTGCCCAGGGAGGACCTGGCGGAAGTGAGTGTCCTGTGGCCAGGTGTCAGCCCCATGGGTCCTGCACACTTGTGTGCAGGACGGGAAGGGGTTTGTGCCTCCACTTAAGAGCTGTGCTTTGGGCTGGCACTGAAGGCTGGCAGAGCTGAAGGAACCACGTGGCAAAGGCATGGGTGGCAGAAGGCCCAGGAGCCAGTTGGATAATGGCTCTATGTGGCTGGCACCCCAGGGCAGTGGTGGTGTGACCAAGTCAATGTTGAACCAGGCCTGAGTCACGCCATGACATTGGAGCTTCTGTCTTGGGGACCAGGAGCTGCTGAGCATCTGGGCACAGAAAGGGCCAGGCCTGGTGTTCATGTAGAAGACCACTGGGTACAGAAGGGTGGGCTGGTGGGGAGACTGAGGCAGGCCTCCCTTTCCTCCAGGAGCAGAAAGACCCGGGGCAACCACCAGGGCCTGCTGCCCGTCCTCCCCCGCCCCCTCCTTCCGGCCCCTTCCGGCCACCACTGCCAGTCTGCAGCCCAGGGCGGGAGCCCGGCCCCCGCAGCCCCCTGAACCGAGTGAGTGGAGCTTCCTGTCCCCAGCGGGAAGCACAGCCTGGCGCCAGACCCCATGGTTTATTAGCACCGCCACGCCCCAGATGTCCTGCTCGACACTGGGGTCACTTGTTCAAGGCCACATGGGCTGAACCACCAGGAGGTGGCCGAAGCTGTCCCCAGAGCTCACTGGGGCCCACAGGGCTCTGAGACAGAGCTGTGGACGGGCGCCCTTCCTGTGAGAGGGCAGTGCCAGCCAACCAGACTTCTGGGTGGCTCTGAGTAGCCCTGGAGTGGGTTTTGGGGACCGGACTGTGACTGTCCACCCCTTGCCCAGGCCTGGATGTGAACCAAGTACTTTGTGCCCAGCATCTGATGGCTGTCTCTTCCCTGCCGGGAGGTGGCTCTCAGCCCAGGAAGCCAGAGTTCAGGGGCCAAGGGTCTGTCTGGCTCAGGGGTGCTAAGCCATGGCATTCGGACCCATAGCTTCTCCTGACTGCCGTCCAACAGTTGCCACCACCCAGCAGGGCCACGGTAGGGTGGAGGCCTCACCACACACAGAGACGGCCACCTCACGCCACACAGCTACCCCGCGCCGCAGGGCCACCTCTCCTCATGCTGCGGCTGCGTCTCCTCCCGCAGGGAGCTCCCGCCCCGCCACGGTGCCTGACGCCTCCTCCCCAACAGGGGACCCTGGTCCCGTCTCCGGCAGCCTCAGTTCCATGTCCAGGTAAGCCCAGGTGACTCTCATGCTGTACCTAAGCCATAAGTGACCACCACTCCTCCTTCTGCGTGGATGTGAGTCCCGGAACTGGGGCGGCGCCTTAGCCTCCACGCTGCTGTGGAAGGGCTCCTGAGCAGGGCACACCGTGGGCCGCAGGGGCTGGCAGCCCGGGGGCCTGGACCAGCCTGCTCAAGTGAGAGGTCCAGGTGGTCCCACCCCCGCCTCTGTCTCCGCCCCACTTCAGATGCAGCCACCTGGCTCGGTGACATTTGCCTGAGTGTGTTGTATCAGTGCTTTGCCATGCACTAAAATATGGAAGCCAGTGCCAAGCATGGTGGTGGTGCCTGTAATTCTAGCACTTGGCAGGCTGAGGTAGGAGGATCGCTGTGAGTTCGAGGCCAGCCTGGGCTCCAAGGGGGGCTCAAGGCCAACCTGAACTACACATCAAAAACCTTTCTCCAAAACAAAATGGGAGGGGAGCCCAGCACCCTCCAACATTTGTTTCCTTCCCCAACTGCAGCCCAGTCTGGAGGCTCTGGCAGGTCTTAGGGTTCAGATAGCTACTAGCAGGGTTGGCAGTGGGTGCTGGGAGTCCCCTGCCTGGGGCCACACACCCACGGCTGGGTTGGCTGAATGCTTTCCTGGTGACAGCCTCCGGGCCCCGTCTTGTCCCCAGCATGCACATCCCCGCGGCCCGCCTGCTGGCCCCAGTCCTGGTGCTCCTGTCTCTCCTGCTGGCCACAGGTCTCATTGCCCTAGGCACCCACTTGCTCCGGGGCCGGAAGTCAGGTGAGTGGGGCCTGGCAGAGGGCAGATGGAGCCGCACCTGCAGCCGGGGGCCCCGGGGGTCTCAGCCTCCACCCACACGTCCCGCCGACCCTGGCAAGGCCTTGTCCCCTCCGCACGTCCAGCTCTGTGTACAGGGCCTGGCTGGGGTGCAGAATGAGCGTGGTACTCTCCCTGGGACTGCAAGGCGCCAGGCCCCTTCCCAGTCTGTGCTTTCAGCTGTTTGACCACACTGAGCCTCAGTTTCCCCAAGCAGGAACAAGTTGCATACCACGTGTCATTTAAAATCTCCTAGCTGGGCATGGAGGCACATGCCTGTAAGAAGGGTCACCATGAGTTTGAGGCCAGCCTGGGCTACATAGCGAGACCCTGTCTCAAATAAAAAAAAAAAAAAATTAATAGCTACATTTTAAAAGCTACTAGGTTTTAACAATATAGTTTAGGGGCCGGGGGGATGGTTCAGT